GGGGAAGGGCCAGGTTAGAGAAAGGCTGCTTGGACCAGGCTTGCTTTAGCACTTTCATTAAAGACTTAGTCCAAAAATGAAGAGATCATTGACAAAAATCTGCTGGAGATGTGAGGTTGAGAGATGTTATTAATGCAGGGCGAAATGGAGATATCTCACAGGACAAACTAGACAATTGGGGAGCAAGAGAAGTGAAATAAAGCTGACTGGGACAAGGGCAAAATCATAGTCAAGATAAACGTGATAAATGTAAGCCAACACTTCGCCTAACAAAGACTCCATCTTGTGTGGATGCTTTGCTGTGGTTCTCAGGAATAAAAATAGCAGTGTCTGCTTGGAAGAGCAAGGGGTGCAGGTGAATACAAAGGGCAAGAGGATAAATTTTGTGCGTGGAAAAGCACTGTTGGCTCCAGGAGGAGATGCCTGAGAAGCCCTGTGGTTTCTCTGTTTGCAAAAGCATCTGCTCTAGCCAGTCACAGACCCTTGGGCTTTAAAGCCCACAATGTCCAGATCCTAATATCGCAGTGGTGTGTGCAGTGGAGAGGTCCAGGAGAATCCGTGTTTGAGTTCATTGTTATCCTCTCAAGGAATCTTTGATGTAGTCAGAAATAAAGGCATCTGTAAGATGCTATTAGGCACTGTGAGAACTGGAACTGCATCATGCACCACTCAGGCTGGCTCACTTGGTTTCTTTACCTCTGTTTCCAAAGGCACGGAAATCCAGGAGCAGGTAAAGCCAGACTCTCCGAAGAGGAAATTATTTCCTCCACCAATGTAAGCCCCTGGAATGGGTTTCTGTGTGATTTAAAAACCGTATATGTTTCTGCTTATTGTCTTCCTTACACCTGCCTAAGAATATGTGTGAGTTTTTAATTTTTTTTTTTTTTTTTAACATTTTATTCACTGGCAAAGCATGGGAAACTGGAGAGTCGTTGAATTAGGGTAAGCACTACTAGGCAACAACTAAACCAGCGGTGTGTTAGCAACATCGTTCTCATACTAAATCCAAAGGACAGCACTGTACCAGCTACTAGGAAGAAAATTAATTCTATCCCAGCTGAAACCAGGACAGTTTCCTAAGAGTCCTGAGCATTTGCTGGTGGCTTAGTCCCTGAGCATTTGGACCTCTCCCAGCCTTGCCGTCATCTCTAGCCCCGGTGTTTGGTGTGTGGCACGGTGGCAGGGGCGGTGAAGAGCCGCGGTGGAGCTGGTACAGGGAAACCGCAGAGCCCTGCTCGCCGGTGGGCCGACCGAGGTGAGCCATCTCACAGCAGCCTTCCTCAGCGTTTGGAAATGTCGGGTGTGTTTGTGCCTCCACCTCGCCTCCGCCAGCAGCTCAGGAGTGCACCGGCAGGCAGCCGGGGCAGGAGCACAGCGCGGTGCTGCTGTTGTGAGCCCACGGGTGAGAAAAGTCTCTCCAGATGAGTCACACAAAGTCCACGTGGGTTTCGTGCTGCCTTGAGTATTTGTAGCATCATCTGGGTCTGACTGCCAAGCTCCTCCAGCCACTAGAACCCTGACGGTATTTGTGAGTTGAGGGTGCTTTCGATGGCTGCTTGGCCACACAAACCCCGAAAGAAAAAAAAGCACAGTTCAGGAAGAAGATGGTGGCAGAGCAGATGTAAAAAGATAGATGTTGAAATGCTCAGTCTGCTTTAAAGTGACACGCAACTTGTGTTCAATGGCATGAAAGGTTTTGGTTTCCTTAATTGGAAAGTATGAAGGGGAAAAATAAAAACCCTATACCAAAAAAGCCGATTAGGTGAGATCCATCTGATACCAGCATTGAGCTACCTGGAGATGTACAATGCTGCATCTGTGAAGGCCTTGTGTGCGTGCGTGTGTGTCCTTATTCTTCAGGCTCAGAAATCTTTTAATGGTAATTAATTTATTTTAATGGTAATCTGCTTTTGGCTTAAGACCTAAAAGAAGTATGCAAGTATCGACCGGCAGAGAAGTTACCCGCATGAGACTGCCAAAGTTGCTCACCAGGCAGAACAGTTCTCTGGCATTAAGAACTGAACTCTTTCAGGGTGCAGAGTTCAGCTCCCAGGTTAGTATCACACGGTCTTCCAGACATCAGAAAGCTCCTGCCGGCTTTAAGTGCCCATCACATCGGGGCCATGAGGGCTTCCAAGACCATGCATCAAGCTATGGCAGAAAATGGGGAGCGGGCTCCTCCGCTTCCCAGCCAGAAGGCCCTAGCTGCAGGCAGGTTAGTTCCACAATCCCCACCTAAATCTTGTAATCTAATAAATAGCCCCAATTATTTTTGTCCACGTGGACGTGGTAATTGTTTCTTCAGTAGAAGCTCTGCAAGAACCTGAGAAACGGCTGAGCTCTGTGCTGGGCAGCAGCTGCGGGCTGTCCTCCACGCCAGCCCCACAGTGGGCTCTGCCTGCCAGGAGCCATGCAAAGGGACAACTTGCACCTCTCTCACACTTTACGGGTCCCTTCCCCTTTCACTGCATGGCAGATGGATCAAACCTCTTCCCCTGCCGTGTCTGCTTTGAGGGCACGGCTCTGGGGCAAAGGATCAAGCTGGCTCCCTCCACGCCGTGAGCTGGGCTTCCCCACCGACCGTGTCAGCTCTCAGAAGTGACATTTGGGTGCTCAGCCACGTCCACAGTCACTGCGGTGCCGGATCAGCCTACGGCATCGGCTCCTTCAGTGGCTGCGTATACCAGGCAGCGGTTATGCATTTAGTACCCGGGGGGTTATTCAGAAACACACTTGAAAATCTGGTTATCAAGGTAGAGCAGAGCAGCTGCCAGGCTTGCGTCCAGCTCCAGCATTTACCCTACAAAATGGTCACTGGGGGAAAGGAGATTTCACCCAACACCAGTTGCGGCTACCACCTCTGACCGCCAGTGGAGGATTTACCAAAAGGAGGGAGAAACAAAGGGGGAAAAAAAAAAAAAAAAAAAGGGAGGGGGTGAGAAGCGGATGAGGAGGATGTAGCATTTTGAGAGATCTTTTTAAGTTCTTCATGACTAAACAATCATTAATTTGGTTACGAAGAACTCTCTGACCCATCGCCCACGGCCAGAAGCTGCTGTGCAGGAGGAACGATTTGTGAAACCGCTCTGTGGAAGGTCAACATACTGTAGGTTCGATATGTCAGATGTGCATTTGTTTCACCTTTCCCCACTGCCCCCCACAAACTGAAAATTAAACACCGAGTTTATTTAAGAATCTTTACTTTTTTCCCAATTTAAATTATACTTCTGAAATGCAAGTAAAAAAAAACCTCACAATGAAATATGTTGCTAATTTCTACAAAATAGTCTAAATAATAATGCACTTACATCATTTACACAATTTACCTTCGCAATAAAATAGGAGCGCTTAGATCAATATTTACATATGGACAGAGAACGCGGCCGTGCAGCCATCTGCTTCTGGTGCCGGGGTACCTCCGGGGGAGACCGCAGCCTGCGGTTGCACGCAAAAATCCTTCTGCAGGGAGAAAAGCCCTGCCCAAGTCTTTCCAGGTGCAGGGACCTGCCCATAGGGCGCCAAAGAGACCAAAATGGTGGCAAATACGTGTTTCTTCATCTTAAAGCTGCCACTGTAGCACATGAGCACGCATCAATGAGTTAGTTAAGGAATTCCCTGATGTAGAATTTTGCTTCGCTATATTAGGCACTTCATTATAAAAGTTATTTATTATGGCTTATGCAAAACAAGTCACTTTCCTCAGGATAGGTACTTGCCCGAGTCAGTGGGACAAAGAGACATGTCCAAGGGCACACTCTGAGTTTTGGGTTAGCCTGCGTTAGAAATTCAGATCGTATTACTTAATATCCGTCCTGAAGGAAGTATTTTATCAAGGCCTGATCTTTCCAGCAAGTCAAGCAGGCAGTGTATTTTAAAGCTTAGTATATCTGCACTTTTTCCCCAAATTATTGGTAACTAGAGCTTTCCCTCTTAATAAGTTAACTACTTACATCCATGCTGTTCAATATGCCATTGGGTGACATATCCCACGTATGATTGTCTTCAAAGAGTACACCATAGATTGAGGGATTATTTACATATCTTAACACGTAGAAAATACAGTTGTAACTTACCAAACAATAAATATAGATCAACAGAGTACAGTATTGAAATAAAATAAATTAGAACGATTCTCCAGGTGTTGAATTCCCTCCCTTAAGGCCTGAGCCAGAGACCATAACAAAAAACCCCACACCAAACGGTGATATTTTTTCAATGGCTCGAAAAGGTTTTGGATAGGGCTCCTAATTAGACACTGGCTGTTTGAAATGAGATGTTTAGCTAAGCTGACAGGTATTTGAAATCTATATGATCAAACAGCAAAACTCGCCTCTAAAAGGAGTCTTTTGGGTAAAACAATTTAGACCCAACATTAATACTGCATTTATTAGGAAGAATATAGTTCTTGCAGATTGTCTCGACATTAATTCAGCAGCAAGGAAATAAGCGTACGGTTAAGAACACAACGTATTTGGGAGGCAAATACGTGTTAGTGCACATGATTTTCCAAAAACTTCACTCCTCAGCTACATTTGTGCATATTTTAGAATGCTTCTAACTAGACGGTTAATAAAAGTCTTCTCATGACTATAGCTAAGTTTGCCATTAAAAAAATTAACTGAAAAACAGTTAGGAGTAACTTACTCAAGAATGACGCCAAACTTCAGTTCCAAAGATGTCAGAACAGTGAGAAATTTGGAATCTAAAAATCTTAAAACTTAGGCCTATCAAACTTTAAAAAAAAAAAAAAGAAGAAGAAAAAAGATTAAAAGCAGCGGATCTGCTCTCAGAATTGCACGCTCACCAGGTCTGTAAACTCTCCATGAAGTCAATGATGCACTGTTCACTACAAGAGGTACAACGTAGATGCTCTCTGCCAAGCAGTGCAGATGCTTTGTCCGTAATTTACTTCATGTCTCCTTCTTCTCTTCCTTAAGGATGAAGCATTTGACGTATTTCAGTAGCTAAAAAGTCTGTCTTAGAGGAAAAAAGGTCTGGGGTTACATGGAAGGGGGGGTGACAGGCGTCCACGTGGATGCTAGCCTGGCGTGGGCGGAGGCATCGTACTGGGTGTCGGGCAGGTCCGGGGGTGCCCCGCTGTCGTACAGGGGGGAGGCAGAGGAGGCGGCGGGGACCGGGTGTGGAAGGGCGGTGTAGTGGGCTGGAGAGCTGCGTAAAAACTGGGAGCTCAGGCCGTTGGACATCCCGCTTGACTGAGATACCGGTGTGATGGTGCTGTTACTCACAGACCATAAGTTAGGATACTGACTGAAAGAAGGAAAGTGATAAATAGAGTTATTAGTGACCCTAGTGCCTGCTGGTTGTTGCTCAGGCCACAGCACAGCTGCCAAGCTGGGTCCATTTGCTGGCGACAGTGAATTTCTTTAGGAAGTTCCCAGCCACTGCGAGGTGGAAAGATCCCCAGGTAGGATTTGTGTTCGTGGCACGCCACCAATAAATCTAACCTCCCTGTTTTCCAACAGCAGGTTCCAGCACTGGGTGTATTAGCAAATTTTAAGCTAAGCTGAGGGATCATAGAATCGTTATGGTTGGAAGAGACCTCAAAGATCATCAAGTCCAACCTTCTATCCAACGCCACCATGCCCGCTAAACCCACTAAACCATGTCTCAAAGTGCCACATTTAAACATTTTTTGAACACCTCCAGGGATGGTGACTCCACCACCTCCCTGGGGAGCCCGTTCCAATGCCTAACGACTCTGACAGTGAAGAAACTCTTCCTAATGTCCAACCTGAACCTCCCCTGGCGCAACTTGAGACCATTTCCTCTTGTCCTAACATGGAATAAACGGGCTAGCTGAAAAATGCAGAGGTTCGAGAGCTGCTGCTGAGCCGTGCCATCCCCTTGCCTCTGGGGAAAGGCGCGTGGTGGAGGTGGCTGGACACAGCACCTGGGGGACCCAGGCAGGTTTGAATCCTCTGCCACGAGTCAGTCAGAGCCCTAATCCCCCTTGGGTGCCTCTGTAGTCAGGGAGGGATGGATGCCTCCAGGCAGGAATTCAGCCCTCCTTGTTCATCATCTCATGTTAGAAGGGCCAGACTGATGGCCACAGACTGCACGGGTACTGCAGAAGGGGCTGCTTGAAAGGAAAGAAAGCCTTGTCAGGACACTACAGCCTGCGCACTTTCTCTCCTCTGAGCACGTTTATAGACACACACACATATGTATAAAAACATGTAGGAATTAAAAGAAACAAGGTGATTCAAAAGAAACACTGTGAGAAAAAGCTCAGTCCTGCTGCGTAACACTGCACAGCACTTTCTACCTATTGATCCCAAGCAGTTTAACAAGAAAGACACGTATTCTTCTTACTTTACAGATCGGGGTTTAGACAAAAGAGGTGGCAGAAATGCCTTCCTCGGAGTTCCTCAGTTCCAGTTGTACTGCTTTTATCTACTGGACAACTCCGTGCAGCAACTGAAACTTTGCAGTTTTCCAAGTGTCTATCCTGGGGGTCGGACATAGAAAGAAGTGCTAGGAGGACCTGTTTACTTGTTTAACATTTATGTTCAGGTCTAAAACTTATGTTCAGTAGTACGGTTACCTTATACCGGGTAGTAGCACACATTCTGCCTAACAGCTAAGTGCCTGTGTGCATGGTTCCAATAAAAATGCTTTCCACAAACGGGATGGTAGGTCTGAATTGCTGAGGAAGATGCCCAGACCTCAGCCCTCTGTGGTTCATAGCAAAGATTTTAGCACCTTATCTCTATCTCTTTGAATTTTCGAGTTTAGCTCCAAGGGACTGACTGTAAGCTAAACCTCTGCTAAAGGATCTAAAAGTTTAAGATAAGTACAAAGAGGAGAAAAGATACATTTATATGTTTGGAAAATAGCAAAGGCTTTCACCACGTGTATAATCCCACGCTATGCTGGCTTGGGTGGCGATGCTTAAGTAACGAATTACTGCCCCAGCCACTTGCTCCTTCTCCACGCTACAGTTCCCTGCCCCTTCGTTAGTAGCAGAACAAGGGTTTGTGAAGATGGCTGGGAAAGCAGTGACTGGCTAAAACGAAACAGATCAAAAATAAACTTTTTAAACACTATTTTGCTTAAAAGAGATGAAACTTAAAAGAGCATCCTCAAATTCAATGGATATTTGTCTAAGTGATTTGCAATCCTTAATCTATCAAATATTGCCGTCACAAGTATCCACATTTCCGAAAACCAAACATAAAAAAAAAAGTTATCTGTTTCTTCAATCTGTTCTCCTTGCAAAGAGTCCTTCTCAGTGCCCCCATCCAGGTAGCTAATGATTCACACGTGGCCATAAGGATTTCTAATTTGCTGGTGGCTCTTTGCCTCCTTTTTCAGCCTTCTCTTCCTAGAAAGTATCACGACAGCGATTTGAGGGGGGCTGAGGGCCGGACCCCTTACCTGGAGCTGGTAGCTGTGCCGGTGCTGTGGCTCATGGGCAGCATCGCCGTGTGCGTGGGAACCCCGAGCGACGACCAGTTGTCGTGGGACTGCAGCATGGGAAGGCAGGCAGAGGAGTTATCGGCATAGGCTGCTGAGAAAACAAGCAAGCACTTAAACACACGAGAATCAGACCAAATAACGAGCTTGTATTCAAATGGAGTGTATAGCTTTAAACCACCCTCCCCCATTACTGCCTTGCAAAAAACCGAACATAATTACACGCACAGAAAAATGAAGTCGGCTACGGGTTGTGTCAAGCTTACGCTTTCACTGGCATTGCCCCTGCTGATATGTTGTTTTGCTCGACTTACACCTGCAAAGTCTTATTGCTATGAAGGCTCTATGGCCAAAAAACTGGCTCCAAACCACCTGCTAATTCAGCCCATGCTTCCTTGTTCGGTCAGCGGGAAGAGGCAGGCTCCTGACTTGCACCACTCCAATCACTCTTCCAGGGCCCCTTCTTTATCTCCATCATCGACACGGGCAGTAACAGCCCTGGATCACCACCCGTCACTGGGTCACACATCCCAGTTTTGAGCTGAGCGTGCCACTACGGGCTCTGAAGTCTGCCTTGGGCACCACCAGGAGTGACTGGGCTGTGGCTTAAACTCCTTGGCTTGTGACCAAACCGGGCTGGCCAAGACGGCAGAGGCACTAAGAAGCTCTAACGGGGATCCCATACGGCCATCCGTGGCGAGAAAGAAGCTGCTGTGGCAGCTGGCGGAGGGAAGGAGAAGAGGTTCCTTGCTGAGGACCAGGGAGCAAAAAAGAACACCGGAGGTGTTTTCTCCTTTTGTTCTGTTTCAAGTCACAAAACTTGTGAAAAATTACCAATTTGCAAGGGAAAAAAAAAAAAAAAAAAAAAAAAAATCACAGAAAGCTAGTTTTCCACTTTAAAAATGAACTACAAAGCTACGTACAAGATTGGTCAGGCTGCATCTAGAAACCTGTGTATTACTTCACAATTAAAATTATGTTGGTTTTTTTTTAAATGAGAACCTTCCATATCCATACAGGCTGAAGGGCAAAAATTGTTAACAGGCCTTTGCCAGAAGAAAACAAACAAACAAAAAATAAATAAAATCAGTTAAAACCACCTTTCTCTCCTCTCCTTCAAGTACCTATGGCTTAAGGCACTAAGCCTTAAGCTTTTTTGGCTATTGCTGAGCACAACTTTTAAATAGCTCCGCAGTTTACTCAGCTCCATACTCTGTGTATCCAGTTGTGACACATTCATTGAGAACAACCTTAATGCACTCACGTTACGTTAACGACAGCAACAGGCCAGTACAACCGGCAGCGTCAGGCCCTCAATTACTATGCATTCATAACAAGTGACACTAACAGAACCAGACATATACTTCTTCCTTTCATTGCATTACCTGTAACTAATGATCAAAATCCTGACGTTCAACTTAAATAAAGTTTAAGCTCACTGGTTACAAGAATTCAAGAGCACAAGACGAAGCCAGCGCAATATAATGGAATCAATTAGCAGGAGGCAGTTCTAACACACCCTCACTTTTTCCATCGTAAAGACCCTGGGGACACGTACTCATCGTCCCTCTCTCTTATTTGCAGTGCTGGCCCCAAGCTCTCGGCACAAACCGAGCGAGATGGGGACCTCCGCTTCTGCAGCATCGCTCCGGATGCCCATCGCTCAAAGCTCGCATCCCTCGGCTCATTTCCCATCTTTTTTTTTTTTTTTTTTTTTACAGCGCTGCAAAGTCAGACTTACTTGGCGAGTTGTTTCTATGGGTGTAGGGGTTGGGGTAAGGGGCAGGACGGTGGTTCCTCAGCGATGAGTACCTTTCACAGCTGTGGGCAGGGGAGAGCGAGAGGGGAGCTCCAAACTGAGGGTGAGGACTGGCGGGTGGGCACAGAGCCCCCGTCCCAGGAATAAGCCAGCTACCTACTGGGGGGAAGCAAGAGGTTTGTAAGATGGGTATGTAATGCAGCCAGGCAGGGAAAGAATCACAGGGAGGAGAGAAATAATTGATCAGCGAGGAAATGCATTCTCAGGAAAGGCAACATTCAACGTGGCTGAAAAAATCTGGATTTTTACAACTTTCTGAAATGGTCTTATGAAGGAAAATTAGACAACGGCTTAGAAAAAGCCCCGTGTCAAGCCAACATTATTTTTTAAATTACCATTTCATGACAATCACAGTAAGGCAACACTGAAATAGTTAAACCCCCCCTTACGTAGGCAATGTGTGCTCAGCAATTGTTGGTGTCATCTTCAGTTTTAAATTGCTCTTGGAGGGTCTCAGTCCATAGCTAAGCTCTGAAGTTTCTCAGACTGCTGAGAAGAACTCTTAAAAATGAAGTATTTTCACTGAAACAAAGTAATTCCTACTGCAACTCAACCTCCCCCCCATTACAGGCTGCAGACATTTTTGGCAACAATCTGTTAAAACAAATTGTTAAAACACTAATGCATTTTATTCATTAGAAAAAAACTTTTTAAGCAAATGCCACTACTTTTCTTAAAGTACCTAAAACATAAGTACAATTCCAATAATTTCCTGCTGTATTTTGAAATAAACTTTTGCCTCCGTATCCATACAAATATCGCTGTCCTCGTGTACAAAGGCAGCTTTTTGGACATGAAGGTAAACGGCAAGATTCTATTAAAGGGTTTTGAATGAATACAGAAGTCTTAACCACACACACACACATCGTGTTTGTACAGTCATAAACCCACATGAACCACAATCATAAGGACTGGCAATATTATTTTCCTTATGAACTAAGCCAGCCAGCCATCACCGCTATCGAAGTTTTGCTTAACAGATGACGGAAGAAGTCAAAGTTATGTTCATGATGCAGAACGAAGGGAAACGTACACTGCGAATACCCAGACTGCTGGTTGTCTCCCACTTCCTCCAGCATCTCTTTGTGATCACTCCTGTGCAAGAAACCGTGTTGTGTTAGTTAAGAATAAGCTTTCACAAATCTAGGTAAAAAATCCACACTTTAGAATTAAGAGCTCTCACCTTTCTTTTGCATCAAGAAATGCCTTTGCAAATGGATTGTATTTAATTTTTAAAGCTGTGATCTAAAAACAACAACAAATATCTTTATTTGCAAGCATCACCATTCATTATCATGCAGATACTACGATTTGAATTAGGACTATCCGTTGAAGTTAGTGAAATCACAGATTTCTGAAGAAATGAGATTAGGCCTGTAATACCAACCTATGGACATCGATTAAACAGCCCCCAAGGTCTGAAGTATGAGCAGAGGGCTAGGAAGCACTCCCTCTGCCAAATTCTAAAGAAACTGAATTGCCTGGGTTTATGGATCAGCTAAGGAAACAGCTAAGGTAGGTAGCACACTGGAGAGTTATAAAAAGCTTCACATTTCAAGCCAGAGCAGAATGAGCATTTTAAAAAAAAAAAAAAAAATCTCAAAAAGACTGGTAATTTACAGCTTCATTAAACATAGACATGCATTTTGGCTAACAGAGAAAAGCCAGTTTTGAAAATGGCACGTCCCGTTATCTCACTGTGTAGCTGATAATGCCAACTGTATTTCTTACCATACTCGTTTGCCCCACAGAATCTTTTAAGAACTGCTGTCCTGCAATGAATTTGCAGTACATAGAGACAAACAGTGCAACTGTATTTCTTACCATACTCGTTTGCTTGTTTGCCTCACAGAATCTTTTAAGAACTGCTCTCCTGCAATGAATTTGCAGTACATATCGAGACAAACAGCGATCAGAACTTTGTGCTGTTATACATTCATAGGGCAATTTT